GCGGCCAGTCATGACATCAAACCAGTTTTAACTCTCCAAACGCGTGAACAAAGGAACTGAAACCGTCTGTGCTGCTACAGCTTGTCACATATTTAGAAACAGGCTGTGCTTCACTGTGCCGGCCGTCTGCATCCAGAGGGGTCAACAGCCTGCAGCTCTGTGCTGGCCTGATAAAGAAGTTTGAGCCCAAATGTTGCAAGAATGACCTCAAGTGACAAGTTGCTTAAAGAGGGCGTTTGAGGCACCGTGTCCTATTTACTGTATGTGAATTACTTTATAATTGTTTGACTTCACCTTCCTTGTTTTCCACCTCTGTCTGTTTGCAGCACTTTGCCATCCTGTTGAAATACATCATCCATGTGGCTATTCCCGACATTCCTACGTGGGTCAAAGAGGAGATGGCTAAGCTGGATTACCAGCGCAGGGAGGCCTTTAAGGTGACTTCAGGGAGTTCGAAGAAGCCCTTTAAAGTCTCCCTCATTAACCTTATGATGCTACAGCACTGCAGTTGTTTCTTTTTGGAAATAAATGACTAAAGTTGCTTTGATATTGTAGCAAAATGACTGTTACTGTAAAGGTTGTCAGCTGTGCTGCACAACACAGGAAAAGAGATTAGCTTGTAGCTGCCCCGGGAGCACTAATGCAAGATTCTGACTGCAGTAAGGGCTTTTAGACAAGTCGCGCTGCGGTAGTGTAGTAGTTGACTACTGCTGATTCTTTATGAATGCATTGTGAGAACGTTTCCCTTCCTCTGCAGAAGCACGAGCGGCAGGCGCAGCAGCATTACCAGCAGCTGCAGAGGAGGAAGAGGGAGGAGGAGGAGAGGCAAAGGCAGGCAGAGCACATGGCTCGCAGGGAGAGGGAGCGGGACGACAGCAAAGGCGACGTTTCGGGGGATCACCACCACGACAAAGGTCACGGCAGCAAATCACGTTCTGGGGGTGGAGGCGGAGGAGGGAGCGGCGGGTCGGACAAGCCCAAGAGGCCCAGCTCCCTGTTGGCCAATAATAATGTGATGAAGCTGAAGCAGATCATCCCGCTGCAGAGCAAGTTCTCCTCGGGTGGCGCCCGCTCCCCACAGTCACCCACGGGCAGCGAGCCAAAACTGCCCGGCTTCTTGAGCTTCAAATTCCTCAAGTCGCCTGAGAATAAGAGGGAAGGTGCTGCGGCTTCTGCGGCCGCCGGCACCACATCTGCCAGCGCCACGGCGACAGCGGCGCCGTCATCATCGTCATTATCAGGTAGCAGCTCTCAGGAGCGTTCTCAGTCACCCAATAAAGCCTTCAACCCCGGGAAATTGTTTAACTTTGGGAAATCCGAGGGAGGGACTTCCACGAACGGAGCTCCGCTGCCCAGGTCAGGAGAGGGGTCATCATCGCTGACGACGGAAAGACAGCCTTCCCGGTCTGACTTGAATGGCGTTCCGGACGAGATCCCCTCACCCGGAGGGGAAGGCGCAGAGAACGGACATTCGTCAGACTTGGACGCGGCTGGTTTTAAAATGTAGAAAACGACGACAAAAAAAGTGCAACTTGTCTTTGGTTCCATCTCACCTGAACAGGTGACGTGTTTACTGTGAGGAAGGCCTGACCTGCCCTCTGTGCTGTCACAGGCAGGAGAGCAGAAGCTGATGAGGCGAGACTCGTTCTGGTTTGCTTTTTCTGCTGCGAGACAAAAAAATAAAATAGAGAAAGAAACAAAAAAAACAGGCTTTGTAAGAAAGACGAAAGCCCTTCTATCATGACCGAACACACACACACACACACACACACACACACACACACACACACACACACACAAATATTCAAATTCTTCCTTGTCTGCAATACATAAAGAAATGCATGAGCTGCGTTTCTAATATTTTTACGCCTTTAAAGCAGAGCTTTGTTTCCTGATTTCTTCTTGTCAGAAATTGTAAACATCTCGGTGGCTTCACATCAACAGTCTGTCGTGGAGGGGAGGAGTTTAAGGGGAAAAAAAGCTTACATGGCGGTACGAACGGATTGGAGATTGTACATCAGATAATTCCTGAGTGTTTTTAACTGTCACCACACAAGCGATCGTTAGAAATCGGTCTCATTTTTAAACTGCGACGAGTTGTTGGGCCCTTCGCTTTCGTGCTGAAGCTGAAGAGTGGAAAAGCAATATGAGTCAGTGTTTTTGTTTTTTTATTAAGTGTCAATCATCGCATAAGCCCCTCCTTAACAGTCGCCCCTGATGTATCACCAGCTTTATTTTCAAAGCAGAGGTGAGGTCTGAGCTTTGCAGAACCCGGTTTGCTCCAATAGAAAGCGGCGAGCTTAGTAAGTCGTAAAAATCACAGTATTTTGGAAGAGCGAGCGGTTTTCGAGGAAAAGGAGCAGAGATGCCCGTTGCATGCTGTTCTCCATCCGAGTCCGTAGAGCGCCTTGTAAACACAGATGGTGCCTCATGCCACAAACTCCAGCTAGACTTGGCAAACGAGCACAGAGTTAAAGAAGTAACATTTGCACTAAAGCCTGACGCCCTGCATAGAAACCACCTCGGCACAGAGGGCCCACACCAGCCTGCCTCATCATTATGCAAAAAATGCATTTCTGTTCATTTCCCCCTTTCACATGGTGCATGCAGTCGGCAGCAACGAGCTTTCAAAATATTCACGTTTTCTTTTCTTCTTGAACAGCTGTTTTTATTGGCAGAAGATGGAAATTCCCTTTTTTTTAACCAGTGCAGAACTTTTCAGATTATACTGTTAACCCAAGACGTACAGTACTCTATAAAGGTTTTAGGCACTAAAATATGTGAGAATACTTTGAAAGATGCCAGTTTACCTGACAGGAGTTCGGTAAATAGAAAAACCCTACATTAGTGAGAGCTTCATTTGACTACACAGTCGCTCAGTCATTATGAGATCTTACCCAGAATCCTTCTCTGGAGTCGGGCTGTCTCTCTCTTCATGCATTTACTGGCTCACTTGATGACATCACCACAGAGCTTCTGCAGGGACCAATGCATGCGTTGCAGGACTCCCTTTTCTCACTGAAGATACATTTTAGGTCATCGTCATTTTTCAAAAAGCAGGATGGCATCATGTGATTTACAAAAACATACAAACATCTCAGAGTGCCTAGAACTTTTTCACAGTACTGTACTTTGCATATTGTTTGCATGATCCATGTATTTTCAATGAGCCCAGCATCTACCCTTAGCTGGTATTTCACTTCTGCGGGGTCTCCAGAAGGTGGCGCTGGTTATTTAGTCACCACAGGCAGAAAAATTAAAGCAGTCTGACAAGTTTATGATGATATGAGACACTGAGAGGATTCAGAAGCCGCCGCACTGCCGAGATACGGAAACATTAACTATGCATTTCCACACGTTCACCTCCGGCGAGGATTTGGGCAATAACACAGCGTTGAAGTTGACGTGTAGTACTAAAGCTCAACACTAACCCAACCTCAAACCCCAACTCCAGCGCATCATCCTCATCCACTCTATGCATTTTCTTTCCCTTTATGTTTTAGTGTCAGCTCTCTCAGATCGCCTGTTTCCTATTTAATGTTAAGAACCTGCCCCGACCTGCATCGGCTTAACAGGTTTTTGTATTCTGTTACAGCTTTAATGTGTTAGTTTTAGAAGTCTGGTCCATTTTTCGCTCACACGCCGGGAGGCAAAAAGTTCTTACTGACATTAAATGCAATACCGAAATAGTCTGTGCAGTCATGTTATCATTTTTAGGAATATTTGGAAGGTACTGTTCATTATAAATGTAAATGGAGAAGGCCGAGGCTAAGAGAAACGTGACATCATCAGCGTGTGATCTTAAGAGCAGCAGAGCGAGACGGTGACGACGTAGCTGAGCACAGTCTCATTATAAACCCTTGATATTCTTGCAGCATCAGGATTTCAGGGATAAGTGGCTTCATGGTGCGTAAGAGTCCATCGTTTGAAAAAGTCCCATAGAGAAGCAGAACTGGTGCGCTGAATAGATCCGCTGATGCCGAGCGAGGTCACTTCCATGTGTGCATTCCCACCTTATTCAGGTAAAGCTGAAGAGCATCACAACAGACATCGGCTTGTTACTTTTTTCGTTTTTGCAGTGAAACATGTTCTGCGACGGAGATCTGTAACGTTTGGAGGAACGGCAGCGTCACGGCGCAGGCATCGCCTGCATCAGGACACAAGCTCGGACTCGTTATCAGAACAGCTTCTTTGAAAAGTTCGGACATCGTCTGTCTCATTCGGAATAAGCAGGAAAGGACTGAATGGACGTATTAATGTTTGTGTTTCAGAGTGGATGTGAACAGGCGAGACTCACCGCAGCTACATTACAGCCCGACCCGAACCTCAAAGACGAGACATTTTCATGGAAGCCTCACTTACACAACATCATACGCTCTTCCAATGTACCACTGTACAAAAAAGATCTTTTAAAGAAAAATACTGGGGAATGGGATTATTTATTTCTTTTAATTTATTTTGTCATATTTTTGTAAGACCTGACAAATAGTTAATAAAACTATTTCAAATGCATCCCATGTGTTGTGAACCGCTTCTTTACATTTTTGAAGTACCACATAAACCAAAAGTGTTTTAATCCAGTTTTATTTCAGCAAAGCTAAAAAGAACATCTGATCTAACACATGTGGGGCAAGGCTTCGGGTGGTGTAGAACAGTCTGAGCAGAAGCATAATGAGGTTTTTATACTTGAAATAACAAGACGGGTATTTACAGTGTAGATATGAAGATGACTGACCGCACCGTCGACCCACAAAACAGGAAAGAGAGGAGGTTACGTCGTGACTCAGCCGGGGAGTGATAAGAACGATTTTTTTAAAGGACAGAAAAAGAAAAGCTTTTTTTTGGGTGCATGGACACCAATACAAACTGAATCTCATACAAGGAACAAGGCAGGATGGCAGCTGCACTTCGCTGTGCATGCTTATTGTGCATTCTATGGCTGAAAGTATAATACTCTAAACGCTCACAGCAGCCAGCTCTCCATCGAGAAGGGAGAAAAATAAAATAAAAACCATCCGGAGCTGTCACAAAGATGAGACGAGCAGTAACGCTGACCCGGGCCCTGAGCTGGATCCGAGTCTTAAGGCCTCTCGGCTAATACCTTCCACACAAAAATCCCCCCCCCAAACACTTTATTTCTGGTCCGGGATTATAACATCCAGCCACTGAAACAGTAACATGCAAGGCAAGATAACATCCACTGGACACTGGGGCTCTTCTCTACTTTATTCTGTAGTCTTTTACAAAAAGGCAGACACACAGATACTAAATCGGATAAGCTACTGTAACTATTTACACACGTTATGCATTCTTTTCCCTTTCCCACACGCTACTATAGACATTTCTCTTTAGTGTCTGTGCTGTTGCCAAAGTTGCGCGACTAAAAATGAAATCTCACATTTCTGTATTTTCCTATTAAGACGTAACAGCTCTTTCTTTTTCTTCACATCTTTCGGTGAAAGATCTGCTAAAACTTAAAGAGAGAGAATCCCCTTCTTACTCGCCTCGATCAGCCAGAGGGAGGTGCTAGACGTGACGCTGCTTCTCAGCCACGCCGACACAACATTAATCCTACAAGCACGAGTCCCAGGATAGAACACAGATATTAATATATTCACCATAAAACAAACAAAAGAAGCCACACGTTTAAAAAGGTGGGGGTCCGGAAGAGTCGCTTCTACTTTGTGCTGTTCTTCACAGTGCATTCTTGGTTCTGTCGATTCAAACAGTGTGGAAAAGAAGTCGCAATGCCCCCGTGTGGTTGCAGAGTGGGCAGTGAAACTGAGATGGTGGGCACTGTGGCTGGCAGGAAGCTCATTGCCATTTACAAACAACAACAAAAACATCATAAAATAAAATTAAAACAGTAACAAAATACTCACAAATCAGAACAGACTGTCCGGACGACAGAGAGGCTACACGAGTCTTGTACCAGTTACATTTTTAAGAGTAGTGTCTGACATTTTCTGTCCAGTCCGTCTCATCTTAATCCTACCATCCACTCGCAGTCCGCACTCACAGCTCAGCATGCACACAAACATATACATGTGTACTGGCCCACATGGGGAAGAGCCAACACAATCAAAACACCAGTAATGATTTCGCCTCCACGACTTGAGATCATTTCTACCAACGTTATTTTCATACACTGTAAATGGCGGCTTTGTGAGTGGGAATTTCCCGCAATTCTCTCTGGAGTGACTTAACTTCATGCCAGGAAAGACATCCTGCTCTAGTCCAGGAAAAACCAGGAAGTCTGCATGCAGGAGGGATTATCCTATGGTTTTGCTTATATTGGCTATACCCTATTGATGCAAACACACATGTATACCCACCCACACACACACACACACACACACACACACACACAATCGGACGCGCACTTATGAGTCCTCGTTCATCTCTTGGCTATCTGTCCTGGCGATCTTCCTCGGGGGCGCCGGGCTGTCACCCTCAGCTTGTTCCTGTTCCCTTTTCTTTGCTGCATTCTGTTTGACACAGGATTACACAGGAATCAGCAAAATCACAGCCTCGCTCTCTTTCAACACGTCAGTGACAGAAGCACAGATGAACAGTTGCTTCATAGCACGTGATTATTTAAGACATAATAAAGACTCCTTACAAAGACTTTTGAATTTCAGGAGTGGGACCGCAGCTCATACTCGGCCCTGCCAATTCCATCAATGTATTTCCCTTCCTACATTATACACAGCATTTATTGAGGTTCTTGCATTAGTACCTGTTGCCACTCTTTACTGAGGCCTTCCCCAAACTGCAGTTTAAAATCGAAATCTTTATTTCATCTGCCATTCTCTTTCAAGAAATACTGTCAACTCTTAGCCCTAACCCTAGTTGAGGATGTGGTCTCTGCCAAATGAGAGAAATGAAAGAACTGCACACGCTCACCTTTTTGTCCCACTGCTGGTGGAGGTAACGCAGGAGAATGTTGGTTTTTTCTGTAACAATGACTGTAAACAAACACAGGCAAGATGTTTTACATACAAAACACATTACACAGGGTGCTAGTTTAGCCACAGTTAGTAAGCATTTGAAAACATCACCACAGCAGTTTTACAGTTTCAACTGTACTTACTCTGTTCAGAGGGGTATTCGCGTGTTGGTAGGTACACGGAGGGCCTGCGGTTCTATACGAGAGATCAGAAAGAGGCTGTGAATTAGAGCTGTGCCTTCTAGACATGAACAAACCTTTAAAGAACTGCATCAAGTGATTTTAAAGGCTACTTACAGATGCTTTACAAACTGAATCTGCATGAAACCTGCTGAAGTTGCTCTTGTTGTAGACAGGAAGTCCTTTCAAGAAATCAGCCTGTGGAAAGAAGGTGAGGTGACCGTTAGACTCTGCAGCTCTCATTTCATTTGTCTTTCATCTTCAACTTCATACATCCAAAGATCGCAAGTCTGAAATCATCTGACTTTCAGCAGTCTGACTGCTGTAGTTTACTCGTGTCGGCTGACAGCAACAGTGTAAGTCATCACCACCGACATGAGCGTAGGTGTGCTCCTCTTAATGCAGATGCTGCTGAGCAGGTGACAGGTCCCTGCAGATGACTGGATCCAGCATTCAGGGCGTTACCTCATCTTTCACGACAACAAACCTGCCGCCCTTCGACGTCGCCATTAACCTTCAAAGTGGATGCAATATCGCACAGTGTCCATCAAGAGGTTTCAAATGGGCAGGATAGAGCTGAGCAGCTCAGAGCACAAATCGATGCCGGCTTGGCCTTGAATACCAACAGGAGGAGCAGGTGTGGCTAGCAGCTAGCCGGTAGAATCAGTTAGCTGGCTTACAATTACTGTATGCCTTATAACACCAGCTATACAGCTTAAACCACAGTAATAAACATGGGGTATGCGAACTACCTTCTCCATGATGGTGGCAGAAACGTCCAACTGCCAAACGCCGACTTGTGGACTTGGTGTGTGTTGTTCTGGTCGTGATGGCCGCGCTAGCTTACAGGCTAGGAAACCGAGACCGCTGTCCTACGTCCTTTTCGAAAGCAAAAATCACCGTCCTCAAACACAAGTTGCTGTTTCCATTTTACTTCCCAGTGACTGTGGAAAAAATGACACTACGCGCATAAAAAAAGCCAAGACACCAAAACGCTCAGTACACGAGTTCGCAAAGCTACTTACACAGGACTTCTTCAGCTAGCATGATGGCACCGACGCTTTTCTAGGCCACGCCCCAAGTAGCGCCTATTGGCTTATTCTTACCCCCACCTGGTAGTAGCTTGACCGGACAACCAATTGTTAAAAACAACACAATTTAGCCCCTCCCTAAACCATTGACCAGGCAATCTGCTCTCACTCATTGAGTTTCATTATGAAAACCATCAGCCACTATTGATCCGAGCTAGAGTCCAAGATTGATGTCATCATGTGGGCGCACGTATCTCCTGCACGCGCCAATGTTTATTAGTGTCTGCAGTAAAGGCTTCGGGAAACTGAAGGACTATTTAATTCTTTTGACTTTTGTTGTAAGTTTACACCAAGTTGAAAACTTCAGATTGAAAGGTGAGAAATTGAAAACTAGGGATAAAAAAAAAGGGTTTTCATAAAACAAAGTCATTCAGGTGTTTTTGGTATTTTAAATCCTTTCAGATCTGAGTGTAGCGGAAAATTGTTCTTTGTATCATAAGAAATATCTAATTTATGATGGATGCACAGCAATCACTGAAATCAAAGATCCACAATATCTTTATTCTTGTCATACAAAATCACACAACAGTCAAGCAAATGCAATAAACAGATATTAAATATACAGGACTGAGCAACATTAACATTAAGAATATAATGAATTATTTTAAAGCCTGCATGTCAGTATACTGTGTCTACACCCAGACTCTTCTAATAAGGTGTTGTTAGGATCAGCCAGAATAAACTGGGCCTTCTAGCCTTATACAGGTGACGAAGGCCATTTTGCTGCACACTCTGACTATACTCGCAGTCTCTTAGTCTGCTTCTTAGGTTCACTGACTTGTACCTGCACACAAAAGAGAAAGTCAGAATGGATTCAATCAAACAGGAATCCATATGAGTAAAGAGGGCAGGAGTATTTACTTTGTCCAGGAGATGAGATTTAAATCACATGATGGTAGGGGCTTAAGAAGCACAGTTGAAGAGTCACAGTACTGTGCTCTTTATTTTAAACAGTGCTCTAGCGTAACATCATAGACTTTAAAGGAGGAAACCTGGTCTTGTTAGGAGAGACGGCATCCATCCCACTTTGGATGGAGCAGCTCTCGATTCTAGAAATATGGACAAATTTATTAAACCCCCCAAAATATGACTATCCAGAGTTGGGACCAGGAAGCAGAGTTGCAGTCTTACACACCTCTCTGCAGCTTCTCTCCTCCTGCTACCCCCCCAAAAACCCATCTCCATAGAGACTGTGTCAGCTCCCAAACAGACAAAAAACAAACTAAAAACCATCAACAAACAACTTAAACATAAACAATTACAAAGAAAGAACAATACAGTATCCACATCTGAACCAAAGAGTAAAACAGTGAAATGTGGATTATTAAATATTAGGTCTCTCTCCTCCAAGTCTCTGTTAGTACATGACTTAATAATTGATCAACAAATTGATTTACTCTGCCTTACAGAAACCTGGTTGCAGCAGGATGATTATGTTAGTTTAAATGAATCAACACCCCCGAGTCATTCTAACTACCAGAAATCTCGAAGCACAGGCCGAGGGGAGGGGGGGGGGAGGTGTGGCAGCAATTTTTCACACCAGCCTATTAATCAACCAAAGACCAAGACAGACTTAATTCATTTGAAAGTCTGATGCTTCGCCTCGTCCACCCCAGCTGTAAAACTCAGAAACCAGTCTTACTTGTTATCATCTATCGTCCACCTGGGCCTTACACAGAGTTTCTCTCTGATTTCTCTGACTTTATATCTAATTTAGTTCTGAGCTCAGATAAAATAATTATTGTGGGTGATTTTAACATCCATGTAGATGCTAAAAATGACAGCCTCAACATGGCATTTAATCTGTTATTAGACTCAATTGGCTTCTCTCAAAATGTAAAAGAACCCACCCACCACTTTAATCACACTCTAGATCTTGTTTTAACATATGGCATAGAAACTGAACATTTAACAGTGTTTCCTGAAAACCCTCTCCTGTCTGATCATTTCCTGATAACATTTACATTTACAATTATTGATTACACAGCAGTGGAGAGTAGACTTTATCACAGTAGATGTCTTTCTGAAAGCGCTGTAACTAAGTTTAAGAATATAATCCACCCACTGTTATCATCTTCAATGCCCTGTACCAACACAGAGCAGAGCAGCTATCTGAACGCTGCTCCAACAGAGGTCGATCATCTTGTTAATAATTTCACCTCCTCACTACGTACGACTCTGGATACTGTAGCTCCTGTGAAAACTAAGGTCTCTAATCAGAAGTACCTGACTCCGTGGTATAATTCTCAAACACGTAGCCTAAAGCAGATGACTCGTAAGCTGGAGAGGAAATGGCGTGTCACAAATTTAGAGGATCATCATTTAGCCTGGAGAAATAGTTTGCTGCTTTATAAGAAAGCCCTCCACAAAGCCAGAACATCTTACTATTCATCACTGATTGAAGTAAATAAGAACAACCCCAGGTTTCTCTTCAGCTCTGTAGCCAGGCTGACAAACAGTCAGAGCTCTGTTGAGCCAACCATCCCTTTAACGTTAACTAGTAATGACTTCATGAACTTCTTCACTAATACAGTTTTAATCATTAGAGAAAGAAGGACCAATAATCATCCCACAGATGTAATATTATCTACAGCTACTCTTAGTACCATTGATGTTGATCTTAAATATGATCAACCTATCTCTAATGATCGGCTATGTACCACAGGCCTTCAAGCTGGCTGTAGTTAAACCTTTACTCAAAAAGCATCTCTAGACCCAGCAGTCTTAGCTAATTATAGGCCAATCTCCAACCTTCCTTTTGTAGCGAGTAAAAGCCACCGAGTAACCGCTAAGGGCCTCTATACTACTTGTGCAAACTTTCAGGCCCAAAGCTCTTACAGGAACGAGCCCAAAATAAACGGGACAAGAGGGTCAATATCAGTCAGATATGTTAAAATTTATTATTTTAAAAGAACACAAAGGGTTTGCAAAAGGCCTAAAACATCAAAATGGGAAAGGTCACTAACGACCACAAGAAAGTCTTGGTGCAACCTGCCAGCAATGCAGCTATCACCTGAGGGCTTGCTTTACCCCGGTGGTCCCAGATGCTCGTTGCTTTAAAAGAAACAAATCCACCCCAAATAAATACGAGCCCAACAGAACACTTATCGCATGCACTAAGTGTTTTAGTTCAGGCAATAATCGGTGGCACTAAAATCACTCTTAATAAAACTTATTCACTGCAAATCCACACGGAGCACCTCTAAAAAGACCTACTTCCCCTAAGGTAACAGCCCAGCTCAGGGATTGCACATTGCCCGACTAATATTGCACCAGCCCAGTAGAAATAAAAACAAACCCGGCATAAAAAACAGTTTTAAAAGGTGACCCTACTAAAACCAAAAACGCAACAAAAAGGAGGAGGAAAAAACAGTGACAAATTCACATGTGCAGCCTGCCCTCCAGCAGACAACTGTGTTTGCTGCACACCTGGCTTATCTTGGCTTATCTTCTAAAATCACTACTCAAACCTCTGCTGTAGAGGTTTAAAACAACAGTTTGTGTAGCAGACAATTAAAACTTCTCAGGCTCTTCACCTACTCACACAACCATTGTTCACAGCCGCTTGTCAGTGGAAATCAAGAACACCTGCTGCTACTTCCTCTTTTATACCCTCCATTGGGTCCCCTGGGTCCTAAAGCCTTCCCCATTACACTTTCATATCAGAATCAGAATCAGAATACTTTATTAATCCCGAGGGAAATTAGGGTATCAAACATCCTTGAAAGAGTAGTTGTCAAACAGCTAACAGATCATCTGCAGAGG